ATAAGTAAGAATAAGCCTCCATGTGTGATTTGTCTGGGAGCTGGGTGGTGGGTCCCCCAAAAGAGTAATAAAAAAGCCAACAAGTCTGGCTTTGAACTCCTAAGCTGGTGTGATCTTGCACCTCAGCCTCCCTAGTAGCTGGGCACCATCACCACACCTGGCTACAGTGAGAGCTAATTTCAATTTGTAAGGAATGGAAATGTGTGCTCATTTAAATATAAAGGTCTTGGGGCTGGAGAGATGGCTCAGTGGTTAACTACTTGTTGTTCTGCAGGGGAAGGGGGATTGGTTCTTAGCACCCACAGGGTGGCTCACAACCATCCATAATTCCAATTCCAAGGCATCTGATGCCCTCTTCTGAGCTCCAAGTGCACCAGGCACGCATGTATAATGCACACATATATACATTCAGGTAAAGTGTGCACACACATTTAAAAAAATCTAAAAAATGTTTAAAAACAAAGGTCTTCACTGCTTTGTATGGAAGAAGGGCAAGTTAACAATACATTTACGTTTTTATTAAATTCTTTCTTTGGATACTTGAACAAAATAAATATTCTCTCTGGAAATATGTCTTGAGTGGCCCTTTCTGCTGTGGGATGTCTTTCTGTACACTGTGAATATGTGTTGCTCTGATTGGTTGATAAATAAAGCAGCATTGGCCTATGGCAGGGCAGGACAAGGTTAGGCGGTACATTCAAACTGAAGACTAGACAAATAAGGATGGAGTTGGGGGAGAAGCTAGCCCGCCACCCAAGGAGCAACAAGATGCCAGCCAACCGGTACTATAGATCAATAGAAATGGACTGAGTTAAGTTGCAAGAGCTAGCTAGTGAGAAGTCTGAGCCAATAGGCCACGGACTTGGTAATTAATATAAGCCTCTGTGTGATTATTTTCTAAGCGGCTGCCGTGTGGGGCTGGGCAGGACCGGAGAAACATGGGACCGTGGGGCCGGGTGGGACTGGAGACATTTACAGGTACACCCTGTGGAGTTCTAACATCTACAGAAAGCTAGTAACTGGCCAAACCTTGGGATGCCACAGGGAGATGGTGACAGCTTCCAAGGCCTCCATGCCACACCAGACCCTTTGCCGTCCAGGGCTCCCCTCTTTTGCCCTGTCCAGCTCTCTGGCTTCCTCTGTGGGTTACTGAATGGCGTGGCAAGTCTTTTGAATGACTTCTGTGAATGAGCCACAGTAGAATTGTCACTTCCCAAAACAGTTACTAAACATCACTTGTTAATGAACTCACTTCAGTTTCTTCCCCCAAGCATAATAACTAAACAATGAAAAAGTGACTACCTCCAAGTGAAATGGGACTTACCAACACTCTACTTTCTAAAGGACGGTTTAGGCAAAGTATATTGCAGTAAAAGAAATTATCGGGGGCTGGAGAGATGGCTCAGCAGTTAAGAGCACTGGCTGCTCTTCCAGAGGCCCCGGGCTCAATTCCCATCACCCACATGGCAGCTCATAACTGTAACTCCAGTTTCAGGGCTTCTGGCACCTCCACACAGATATACATGTAGGCAAAGTATCAATGGACATAAAATAAAAATAAATTATATAAAAAAGGAATTGTGGGATGCTTTAACATACTAGAGATCTCAACAGGCTCTTGGTATGCCTAAAACGCCTAAGTCAGGCAGCCTGAGTAGCTTTTCTAGCTCCGGCCCTGTAAACACAGTTAAAAAGTAATTTCCCTGTATAGACTGAGTGATGTCATCAGAAGTCATACTCGCTGTACCTGGTATAGGGAAACAGCCCTGTGGCACTAAGAACCCCTCAGACATGTCAGGTTTATCTTCTTTATTTACAGACCTGGAAGGGGAAGCCCTGAGAGTCCTGAGATTTGCCTTACGCTGCACAGCCCATAGTGCCAATGCCAGCAAGGAACCTCACTTGCCACTCTGTCACATTCCCCTTGCACATGCCTTCAAGGGGGTAAGCAGCAGGCACACTGCTCAGGTTCCAGCAGCTGCCCTTTGCATCAAATCACATTCTACACGCTTCAACAAGTATGTTAAGACAGACAGGTCACATTGTAAGCTTTTGTCGATGAAGAGTGGCTAAAGGAGCATTTCCAGCTTCCATCAACATTCCCAGGGGCTGGTGGGATGGCTCAGCAGGTAGAACACTTGCTGAACAAGCCTGGCCACCCACCGTCAACCGCTGCACTCCGCATAAAGTCAGAAGGACAGAACCAACTCTCCAGGCTCCCCTCTCACTCCACATGTGCTGTGATCCATGCCTGAGCCCAAACACACACGTATGCACGCTCCCTAAAAGGCATTAAGGACAGTCCAGTGACCTCGTTCATCACATCACTGGAAACATCATTTTAAATGCAAATATTTCTACCCTTAGCAAACAAACCCCATACCTCCATAGCTGTGGAATGTTATTTTCCACTTTTTAATGAACAGAAACTGTATGGTCAAAAGGTTTTCAGCTTAAATTGGCAGGGAACTCATTAGGGAACCTAGGCTGTCTTCAGACCCATGGCAATCCTCCTGCCTCTTCTTCCCATGTGCTGGAATTATAAGGCATGAGGCACTATGCCCAGCTAAAGATTCATTTTTAAATTAACAAGAAATAGATTTTCATGAATAAGGCTAGAACTAATTTATGGACAGTGGGGTGGCCAGAAGAAAAAAAAATAAGCAATTTTCACAGCTAGTACCGTTAGTTTGTAAATGGTTTAAATAAACCACTAATTCTTCAAATAAAAGAATGAAGCGCATGAACCAGGCATGGTGGCACAGGCCTTTAATCCAGCACTCAGAAAGTTAAAGCAGGCAGATCTCTCTTAGTTTGGAGTCAGCCTTGTCTACACAGAGAGTTCTAGGCAAGCCAGGGCTACATAGTAAGACTCAGTCCCCCAAAACAAAACAAAAACGAAGAATAATGTGCACAAGTATAAAAACAAATCTCTGCAACTATTCACACCTTTGAAGCTGTGGCAGTTTTAAAAAAAAAAAAAAAAAAAAAAAAAAGAAGCCAGCTGCAGATTGCTAATCTAATTACCACGAGGGAAAATTTCCCACCCAGAAACAATGACAATTTAGACGAAACTTTGTTTTCTTGCCTTTATACTTTATACTGAAAGCACAGACAGACTGTTTTCATAGACACACATGTGTTTCTATGACCCCATGAACAATAGTGGATGCCTTTCTCTCTCCAGAAAGCATGAAATCTCTCCTGTGTGCAGAACGGAGCTATATGTACTGTGAGCATTCAAATAAAAACAAGAATGTGTTCCTCACCTCGGGAGACGGGATTGCAGACCATGGAAGAGGAAAATGGGTAGAATTATAAGCCCTGACTGCCTAGTCCCAGGGACCAGTAGAGCAAACCAGAGGGCCGGACAGACAAGGGTGCGTCGAGCACCAGCTGAGTTTGGCTGGTTTCTTCACACTCGGATCCTGGGGCCAGGCTTTCTGCACAGGTGAGAATCTTCCCAGGCCTTTCAGCCCTCATATGTGCTGGTAAGTTACTAAAGTATGTGTTTATTAAAGTACTGTAGGACTGGGAAACGGTGAAGGTAGATCCTGTGGCTATGTGTGTGTCCTAGGTACTGTTAGGCATGTGTTCAAGCAATGGAGGCTGTAGTCCCAATCTTCCACACGAGCCAGGCAGCCCACAGCAGCCATGAGACAGTTTCAAACCCATCATGTCATTCAACTATGAAAAACGAACACAAGAACCTAAAGCATCAGTATCGTTCAGGGAAACTGGGCAAAATTCTCTCCTCATCGGCGAAGAGTTAACTTTTATTTCCTCCCATTTTTAAACGGGACCGCTTTCAGCCATGTGCTAGTCAGCAAAGTGCACTGTCTGTCCCCATGGGACCGTGTGTGTGTGTGTGTGTGTGTGTGTGTGTGTGTGTGTGTGTGTGTACCGCTTCGCACTATGGGGCAGAGCACTGTCCTCATTTGATTTTGATGCTTATCTCAACAGAGGCCAAACTGCTGAGCCAGGCGCGTTTGTGCCAAGCTAGCTCATTTCTACTTTGAACACACTGATATTTAGAAAAGTCCCTCCCTTACTCCACTTTAATCGCTCCATGTTTGTCTTGCAATATATTTCACGGCACCACAGATGGGCAGTCTGGGAAGTGATGCACACATTACAAATCGCTGTAGTTTTTAATTCTAAGGGAGAGCCAGTGCACAGTCCCCTTCCTGGTTGTTTTATACAGCTGCTGTTCGATGGCACATTTTGGAGGCATCTTGACAAAACGAAAATTGGAGTGCTGAAGTCCCTTTCACAAATATTCAGGAACCAAGACGGCTGACCAGGAGGGTGAATTCCTGCCACCAGTGTGACGAGTGGACAGAAAACAAACAGCTGCCCAGCCGCTGCCACTACAAGTCTCTTAATTAAAGGATTCTTGTAGAACGCAGCTAAGTGCATGCACGCTTCTGAATATGTACATTCTTTACACGTGCGCATCGGCACGTGCGCACAGATCAAGAAGCTGGGTACAGATCAAGATACTAATAACTAAGGTATTTAAGAAAAATAAACTTCAGAAAGTTTCTTAGAAGGAAGGTGAGCCCACCTTTGTTCCTCTCCAATCCAAACACTACGAATGCACAAGGGCACTTGCAGGCCACTGCCTGCAGCTGGGGTGGCTTGCTAACATGACCTTAGGATCCCTGCTGTTGGGGGCAGCCTTGCTTTCCCCAATCCAAGGGCATACTATCTCCAGGAAAACCATCTCGACAGAGCCTTGGTCATCCATCAAGGAGAGCAGGCGCTCCGCCCAGGTCTTTAGGAGCCTAGCAGGAAGAGCAATCATTCCCAAAGTTTATCAAAGTCTCCCGAGGCTCAGCTCCCTACCCCTACGGCGCCCCGCAACTATCCTAAGGATCACTAAAGCCTCCCAGGATCTGAGCGCCACCCGGCCTGGCCCAGGGGTGGCAGCGCCTTGTCCGGCCGCCCCGGGTGCTGCGGGTCCCGAGTGTGGCCCTGGGGCGCCCAGTCCATCTTACCCCGCTCTGCCGCGGCGGCACCGGCGCTCCTCGCCCAGCGGGGCTCGGCCTGCTCTGAAAAGGAGGCTCCCTCTTCACTCGTGCGGCGCCCCTTCCCACGAGCGCCCCGCGCCAGGGTCCGGCCTCTCCGCCCCGGCCGCCATCCCCACCGCCGCGGTACGCGCGGCACTTGGCGCGCCCCAAGCTGCGGCCCCGCCGCCCGCCACGCCCTCGCCACCTCCCACCCGGGCCGGCCGCGCCTCCCCGCTGGGGCCTCGCGCAGGCCACGCCCCCGCGCGCCCCTCTCCAAGTCCTCTCCTGGAAAGCGGGGCACCTGCGCCCTCTTCGCGCGCCCGCATCCTCCGGCGACACCTGCACCCCACTGCGCACCACGCGCACTTCTCGCCCGGGCTCCCGCAGCTCGGCCGATCCGCGGGAGGAATAGGACGGGGCTCCCTGCCGCAAGCACCCCACGACCGGGTCATGGAGGGCTGGAGTGGAGAGCCCGGTAGAGGCAACGACCTGTTGCCGGGGTGGTCTGGGCGCTGCGCGCGTGGGCGTCGGTCGGGCGCGTCGGGCGCGCCCGAGTGTCGCCGCCTGGGGATGCAGGCTTGTTCCCGGTGTGAGCCCCGGCCGGAATCCCTTCTCGGCCAGGCGGGTAGAGATGCCCCCGCGGGCAACAAGCTATAAATAGCGGCCGCCAGCCTGCTTCCAGGAGGACCCAAATTAGCAGACAGCTCCACAGGATTCTAATTTTTTCAAATAACTTGTTCCAAGGCGCTTGAGACTTGGCATGGCCTGAAGTGTTGGGGAAGATGTCCCTGCGGGCAACTTGTTCCAGCTGGTCTTGGGGATGAGATGCCAGAGTGTGGTCCATCTAGCCTGTCCGTAACGGGGTGAGGCTTTTAATATGTCCAACCCTCAGGGTTTCTCTCTTTGAGAGTCATAGGACAGAAGGCCAGAGAGCAGGACAGAATCCCAACCCTGTCTATTGTCTCAATATCCGATAGGTCTCGTGTTCCGTCTGGCTCCCTAAGGTCTAGCAGGGGGATTGGACAGCAAAGACAATCATTAATAAATGATATAGTTCACTGAATTTTCGTGGCAATTTTGAAAGTTGATACCAGCATTCCCTTTATGATTGATGGATTTCTTTCAGGAATGAGGCCAAAAGTCTGGTTGTTTTACGGTCCCTATGAAGCCTCTATTGCGTGACTCAAGTTTGACTCTGCTGGGATTAGCAACCAGCCCACTTTGACGAAGTCACTCATTCTGTTCAGACCAGAATTTGAGCGTATTCCAAAGAGAAAGAAAACAAAGCCTGTAAAGACATGCGAAGCCTCTCTCCTGTCGTGGAGCCTCATGTTTGCGGTTTTATTTTATTTCGTTTTGTTTCTTAGACAGGGTCTCCTCTAGCACGACCTGGCTGTGACCAGACCCTCCTGCAGACACGTGTGCTGTGACTGCAGGCCTGCACTGCACATCTGCCTCAGTTCTTTTTAAATCCAGAAATACTATTCTAGAAGCTTTCGTTTTCCCGTGTTTTTATTCTCCTCGAGAAGTACCAGAATGTACTCCCCTGAAGCATCAGAAGTATTAAAAGACTTGCCCCCCCACACACTCTAGTATTGTATAGGTAAAGTCAGAAGTATAGTACAATGATGATTTACAACTTTTCACTAGAAATAAATGTAAAATGTATAACTCCAACCAACATTTGCACACCCATTTCATAACGTTATTCAACAGCTAAAAAGTAAAAGTAATCCAAGTGTCCCCGGAAGGATGGATGGAGTCACAGATGAGGCTTATACACGCTGTAGAATATTGTTTGACCTTAAAGAGAAAGGAGCATGAATGTCAGTTACAATAGTAACAAATACAGAGTGGTTTAATTTATGAGAAGTTTATGTTGTCAAATTAAAGCCAGGCAAATATTTATACTTCAGCATTTGAGAAGCCGAGGTCAGTTTGGTGGGACTATGGGGCCACCTTGAGGCATAGTTGGAGACTTTGTTTAAAAAACAAAAGGAACTTAAGGTGGTATGGAAGTACACACCTGTCGTCCTGGCACTTGAAAAGTGGGGGCAGAAGGAGCAGGAGTTTAAGGCTAGCCTGGGCTAGCCTGGGCTGCCTGGGATCCTGTCTCAATAAGAAAAGTATTAAGTTCATCGAGACAGAAAGTGAAATGGTGGTTGTCAGGACCCGCAGAGCGGAGGATGGGGCGGGAGAGGTGGGTATGGAGTTTCAGTTTGGGGACAAGAGCTCTAGAAACAGATGGGGTGGCACTTGTACAGCAGTGTGGGTGTGCATAAAGCCACAGGAACTGTGGCCTTAACATGAGAAAGATGATCCATTATAAATGGCATCTATTTATTACCGTGAACATTTTAAAAGATATATATGCAAAGACCAGAAGGACTAAGGAGACAGTGGCTCCTTATGCCTGTCCTAGTACACATTTTCTAGGTGACAGCTAACACGCTAACTATATGGTTTAATCTTTAGTTGTAGAAGTTTGCTTCTTGTTTGATTTTTAACAAAGGATGTATTTAGGGTAATTTGAAGAGTAAATATATAAATATTCATACATAAGCCAAATTAACTAGACAGGAATTCTCAGTTGGGCCACATTTCCATGTTCTAGCAACATTTCTAGTGCAGAAAATACACGGTGTGGCTCTTTCCCAGAACTTGATGCTGAGAGAGCTTCTCCCCATTAGCCACCAGAGTGAAAATGTGTTTGTCTGTAGCATCCCCTGGTGGTCAGGACAGTAATTGCTTCTCTGAGCGAACCTGGGCTTGCTGTGTCTGATGAAAATTCAACCCCTATTTGTCAGCTGCGTCTGTTTTTTCTCAGTGTGACAGCTCAGAGTAATACAGCAATCTTGTGTTTGGGACAGAATTTAATGGGTCTTTTCTTTAAGCACCGGAAGTTTATGGTGTATGAAACTTCTACTTGAGTTTGTCTACAAGCAGGGTAGGCAGCTCTGTTCATTAGCTGCTTACACTAGTTGACAGTGCGCAGTGTCTCGTTACTTTGTGGGATAGAAATGCCTGCCTGTAGTAGCACATCTGTAGCCAGTCCGGTTATTTATTGAACATCTGCTCACACAAGGCTTGGGCTGGTCTTGGGGGAGGTGAAGGTTCCACATTCTGTGCTCAAAGCATCCATTGTGCCGAGCTGTGGCAATCTCTGTCCACCGACGGATGGACATCTGTTTATTCCGGATAATTACAGATTGTGAATTCACAGGCACATATAAGTCTTGATGAGACAATGGTAGTCAAAGCAGGCCTGGTGGCACAAGCCTTAGTACTTGGAAAGCTGAGGCAGAAGGATTACTGTGAGTTTGAAACCAACCCAGGCAAGATCCTGTCTCAATGGAAAAAAGAAAAGGAAATAAAAAGAAAAGAAAGGAAAAAGACAAAAGCCCCACTTCTGGCCTCCAGCACATTACATACTTAGGACATGTGTATAGAACACGGCGACCGAGGCAGGAGCAGGTTAAATCACTGTGCTGTAGGCGCAGAGACGCTCTCAAGAGGTGGTGTCCTGGTCTGGATTCCCTTGGGTTCAGTCTCCAGCACTATGAAAACAAGACAGAGACATCACTGTGACTGTGTTGATTCTCCTGCTCTACTTCCCAATGGCCAGGATTCCAGGCATAAGCCACCAGTCCTGGCCCAAATGTGGAGTTAGTGATGGGCGTGGGATGGACGTTTGGGATTAGCTAGGGGCATCAGGAGAGCCCATGGCTGAACGCTGGAGGTGTCTTGTTGGTTTTGCTTAGTTTAGATTTTTTTTGGGGGGGGGGGTTTCGAGACAGGGTTTCTCTGTGTAGCTTTGCGCCTTTCCTGGGACTCATTTGGTAGTCCAGGCTGGCCTCGAACTCATAGAGATCCACCTGGCTCTGCCTCCCGAGTGCTGGGATTAAAGGCGTGTGCCACCACCGCCCGGCCTAGTTTAGATTTTTAACACAGGATCTCACTATGTAGATCAGGCTGCCCCCAAACTTGAGGTGATCACATGTCTCTGTTCCAAGTTCATGTTCCTCCTCTGGTGGCTTCCTAAGTGCTCTTGCCTCTATGGTATGAGGGCTTGTGTCACCAGATTCTGCCAGCAACACTATTACTAGTGTTAGGTATAGATGTGGCCTCTATACCTTTGATTAGAATCACCATTTGTTCTTGTTATCTGCCCTGTTTGTGGCACCACATGCTGGGCATTAGGAACCAGTGTTCCTGCAAGACTCTGAAACTCTTTCTTAATTGGCATTTCTTAATTGCTAAGCATGAAACTTGGGTCCTCTAGAAGGAGAGCAAGTAGTCTTCCCCGCCTCCCCCAGCCCCAGGAAGGGCTTATCCAGCCAGTGTATCAGAGCATAAAGAATGGAAAGAATGAACTGGCCCAGACTGGTTTTGGGTGCATGCCCAATAAGAGAAACTGTGCCCTCAGGTGGACTTGTAGGGAGACTCTCCTACTTACCATCTTCTGCCAAGATATAATTGGGTAGGCATATGACTAAAACCAGGTGAATTATGGGAAGGGGCACATGCAATAGAAGAAACAATTATATGGTCTAGTCTGCTACCCAAACTACCCCCAAACTACACCCTTAGTAACCAGCCCCTCCTCCTCCTGAACGCCCAGCAGCAGCGCCGAACAATGACACCTTAGTTCCTGTGCTCTGGGACTCTTTGCAGTTATGCTAAGCTGTCCTCTATCTTTGCTTCAAATACCCTTTCCTTACTTCTGCAAGTCTATGTAGGTTTTCATTTGGATTCTTTGAACAAGAAGAATGGACATAGCAGATCCCACCTGTGGTGGTATTGTATGCCCCAAAATATTGTGTTCCCTAATAAATTTATCTGGGGTCAGAGAACAGACAGCCACTAGAGACAGAGGCTAGAAAATGGTGGCACTCACGCCTTTAATCCTAGCATTCCAGAGACAGAAATCCCTCTGGATCTCTATGAGTTCAAGGCCACATTGGAAACGGCCAGGCATGGTGACACACGCCTTTAATCCCAGGGAGTGAGCCTTTAATCCCAGGGAGTGGTGATAGAAGGCAGAAAGATATATAAGGCGTGAGGGCCAGAAACTAGAAGCATCTGGCTGGTTAAGCTTTTAGGTTTTGAGCAGCACAGTTCAGCTGAGAACCATTCAGATATGAGGACACAGAGGCTTCCAGTCTGAGGAAACAAGACCAG